CGTATACCCTTCGGCTTGGACCAAACGCCCGTATGGACACTACAGTGTCCACAATCAGCTCAGTGGGTTCCAGGGACTTTTTTTCATCATTACGTATATTCATTCGACAGCTAATCGAAAGCAGATCAGAATGGGAGGCGTCAAACCGGAAAAGTGGTTGCATTGACTGAATGATTTACAAAAACATTTTAGAAAAAGTTCACTGATAGGTAGTTTGACTAACAATTAACTGTGATTTCATTCTAATCGACATGAAAAATCATGGCTATCGCACAAATTATGCGGATACGAAAGACAACGAAATAGACTCAACATATGGTGCAAGATACTTCCAGGTACTGAGGGTAACCTGTTTGCATAACAGAGCACAGTAAATAAAATGATAAAGCTCTCGGTGTTGATCAATCCCTGAGGGATGCGCCATGCATTCGACTTCATTAAGTATTGATGAAAAAGATTGAATGCATATCTGGCCTTTACATGACTCGCGGTGGCCTACCGATGTATCGATCCAGTGCTGCTATCCTCCCACGCAAGTCGGGTACCAATTTGCCGACCCCGGAGAGATGGAAGGGTTGGTGGGCTACGGGCGCGGTGATCGATTCCACGTTTGTGTCGCAGTGGCGCCTCCAACCACTGTGCCACACGCTCCACACAGAGCACAGTAACACACATTAAATAGTAGCATAGCTATCATTTACGCCCACGGAATGATAAAGCAAGGTCCCTTCTACAAAGTCCTTTAGTTAATGGGAAAAGATTATTTATTTCGGATAACATTGCGACATCTCCGTCTTCGTCAGAGTCGATGGTCCGTATCGGTGGTCCACGTTGTTCGTGAACTCGATGTGGCGTCTTCGTCGTCGTACCGAGACGGGATCTTTTTTAGTTAACACCGCACGATTGAGGCGTGCACACCCGGCAGTGTCCTTTTATAAATAGTGGTTGTTGTTGATAAGTCTACTCGCTGATAATACTTTGCTTTTCAACAGATATTCAACCCTGTAGCAGTCAGCATTATGTTAGCTAGCTCAGAGCGAACAGCAAAACTGCGAATAGCATATGAAAGGGTAGTGACGGGTGTGCATGCCGAATTCATGTGGAGTTCACTGAAGAAGATCTCGTCTCAGTGCGACAACGAAGATGGTACGTCGAGATGACGAACAACTGTGGAACACCGACACTGATCATCGGCTCTGATGAAGACGAAGACATCGAAACGTCAGTCGAAGTAAATAAGATCACCAACCTCGTCTTAGCTCAAGACTTTGAAAACATGTTGATCATTCTACTACCGAGGCTAAATGACGGTCGGTTTGAAAAAGACTCCTTATCGTAAAAAATCGGAAGGTCTGTGACCAACCAAAAACTGCTCATATTCGACTCGGCTAGCTATGAAAAACGGTGCTGGGCCGAAATGGGTCCAATACAAGGTGCCTCGAAATTGATCAAAAATCAGAAAACAAAATAAATATGTTTTAGACAAAATAAAACATGGAAATGAAAAACAACTTCTGCATAGTACTGCTTGCTTTACACGTAGAATATAACATTTAGTTAAAAGAACCTTGAGAACTTACCAGGTAGGTGTCCTCTCGTTTGAATAGTGAGACGACGTGAACTCCAGGTTCTGATGACTTGGTTGCCTCGTGAGTCGTGCCATTAGCTATAGGAGATGATTCGCCGGATTTGGACATCTGAATCGAATACGTTCAAACAGTGCTTGTTCAAAGAACTTTCAGTTCGCTGAAAAATTTCGTCTAAAATCATCTGTATAGGGGTACTAATGGATTCTTATGCAAAAGATTGACAACAGCTATTTAAAAAATATTTTGTGTCTCTCATGAACAGTGTTGTGAAGAAAAATGTATTTTTCCATGTTAGAAAAAAACTGGCGCGAGTAGCATGATGAGAGATCGCTTAGTAGCTTACCATGCATATGGTCAAATACCATGCACTTACATGACATCATCTGCAGTGCTATCGTAACTATTTATCACAGCGGTGCGGTGGTGAACGCGCTAGCCCACGGAAAGAGTAACAGCGTGTTCGGTTCCCACCGCAGACACCAGCGGTCCGGAGTGCAAAAATATCTCAGCAACAACATTATGGTTATTCACCACAACCCTCACTATATTCCATGGCCACTATAAAATATTCTTCTATTTTCGTTAAGCCTAAGAAAGTACGAAGTGGTCTAAGATAAGCGATGAAGTTGAGCGCAACAGTATTGTAGCTGTAATGTCATCTAATCATCTACTCCTTGGATATGTGACTTTCCAGGGTCACTCAATCCTATGGCCGTCTTCGAACAACTGAAATTTTCCTTAGGTTATTGGGAATTTTGACATAACTGCTTCTTCTAACAATACATCTTTAACGACTTTTTTGTTTTCGAGTTTTCCTTTAATGAATAAGAGTTTTCAGGCGATGACGGGAATGAGGAAACAAAAACTTCACCTGATCATCTGCCTTACTGTGAGTGGCTATAGCTTCAATGGCAGCCTGTACGGGTGCTGAATGAAAGTATTCGCGAAGAATCCTCGAATCCTCCTCCTTACCGTCTAGCTTAGATAAATGCTCAGTAATGCGATCCACTGAGAAGATTACTTGCTTCAAAGCTAGAAAGAAGTATCTTCCCTTTGAATATAAATGCAAAAAACAAAAAACACAACGAGAACTATGAGAGCTGGAAATTTAGGACACCAAACAAATAAATTCTCAGCGGCAAAAGGCTCCCTTACCATCTCCAGTGCCTAAGTTGTTTTTATGGATTTCTCTAACAATTTTCTTCTCACAGTTTTTCTTGATTACAAAACGCGAAGTTGTAACTGCCTCCCAACGCTTTACCGCCTCATCGTGGCTGGGAAGTGTTCCTGGTTGTCGGAATTGTACAGCAGGAGAATTCGTCCACCCGGCAAGGTCTCCCAAGCTGAGAAAGAGTCCGGCGTTTTCATCAGAAATCCTAGCTAAGAGTAAACCAATACCAGGATCCGCTACCATCCTGGTAGCAAAGTCTCGTGGTGGCAAATCTCTCTCTGATACACAAGGGCTGCTTCTGCTTGTCGTGGTGACGTCCTGAGGCAGACTTTGGCCAGACCGTCCTCGGGATTCCAGAGGATCGCAATGCCTTAACCAGCAAATCCCCGAAAAATGGTGATTATGCTGGAGCTCGCCAACCAGTGAGGACGGGCCGTTCAAGTATCGAGTAAGTAAGAAGTTGTAATTGAAACATTTATTGGTGCACATTAGCCGACGTTTCGGCGGCTTCGACTTCTTCAGAGCTGAAGGGTCAAATCGGCAAGCAATCTACTCAGGCAAAGACTTTCGTAACCTTAGCGAGCACAGCTTAACTCCTACATTCTCTAAAGTGAAAGCACCATTAGTTGATATTCGGCCATTACTCTATTGCAGATATATACTTGTTTTGTCATTTGCTCCACACTAGAGAAACTGGATAAATGTTTGAGTCATTGAGTGAACAGTCAGGGTACATTAAGTTTATCCAAGAGAAACTGAAAGAAAATTGGTTTCGATTCCTGAAGGTTCAAATAAACCTCTCCGATAACTGCTCCATTACGAAAGGTACCAAAATCCAAGTAGCAAAAACATACTGGTTCATCACCTCTCCTCTAATCCCTCACACCCGAAAAGGGCGTTTGAAAAAACATGTTTCGAACAGCCACCAGCGTGTGTACAAGAAGAGAGCAGAAGAAGGAATCCCGGAACCTGGCGAGGGCAATAGCCATTTCCAGTGGCTACGAAACTGTAGGCCTTCGGACGGGTGTAGAGGAGAGGCTAATTCCCTAAACGATAACTCTAGTGCTAGTAAGGTCTCGTTTAACCTGCACTTTACTTCCAACGAAATAAGTGCAGCTATAAAAAGTTGCTTAAGAAGGAGAAGTCTAGAGAATTCGGTAACAGTGATTGAAATACCACCGAGCACTTTAAGACGCCAGCTAATTCGCAACCGCCGTTATAACCGTTTATGTGTAACGTAAAACTGTATAATATGTCCCAACGGTAGAGAAAGTGATTGCACGAGTTCGGGTACGGTTGGTCTGATCTCTTGTAAAGAGTGCGAAGACGAATACATTGACGAAACCGGCAGACCACTCTACATCTTTATAAAAGAACACGAAAACGGCAAGCTTAAAATTAAACCGAATACTTCGCTAGGCGAGCATATATACACCAGGACACAGATACAAAACGGGGAAGATTTTGAAGTAGAAGGAAGTTACCGACCTCGCAAAGAGATCGAAAATACTAGCGCACAAAACTTTCGATTTCGAAGCATCCTGGATAAACTCCAAGAATCCAGAAATGAACAGCAGGAAGGAATGCCTCGATACCATATATGGTCTCACACAGTATTTCATGGAGAACTGATTCGACCAGCATTCTGTGAAGTTCATAGAAAGACGAGATTCTAAAGCAGCAGTTTGAACAAGACGAAAATATTCAAAGACTGTTGTGGTCGATGAATGCTGGGCAAATGTGTCGAATGCAAGAAGTGCTGGGACCGGCACAATAGATCTGATGAGGAATCGTGTAAAACAAAATAAAAGTAGTTGTATAACAAACTTCGTGCTTGCTAATCAAGAAAAGCAGTGAGTTATTGATCAATACCGAGGGTAAAGCAAAGTCGGCCCCGGGATTTGCTAAAATCTTAGTTATTGTACCCCTCTTAAGCCATTCTTTTCCTTACTGCAACACTATTCTATTTCACCGAATATTTACCTTAACAAAAATGCCTGTACATTCAGAAACACTCACGAACAGCTTGATTGTTGTTGTCTTCGACAGTGTGACACATTGATTCAGCTTGATCGTAGCACTGATTTGCATAACCATTAAGGGCCGAATTAGATTTTCCACTTGTCAGATTGAAATCAGGCATATCGATAGAAACGGACTTTGGCATCGTAGACGACAACGCCTTTAGTTTCTTGGATTGTCTCAGCGAAGATCTAAAAAGGAACCGTCAAATAGCAGAGTTAATGAGTACGAAGACTGCAGAAGAAATCTTGCCTCAGAATGTTGTTCTCCTTCTCGCGTTGTGCCTTCTGCGTCATTCGGACTTTCACGTCGGCTTCGTACAATTTTAGTCGTTCGTTGGTGTTTTGCTGTACCTGGACGGAATTCAAATCTCTCCGTACTAAAGCGTTTTATATTTCGCAATATATACCCTGCCATTAAAAAGGGTAGGTAGTAAATAATAAGTTAAAAATTGCGATTGTCACTACAACCTCAGCTTAACTGGGTTCGTTGCCGATTTAGGCTCCCTAGATCAATTCCGCTGACGGGTGATTGTTGATCGTAGAAGATCGATAGAACTAGCTGACAAACAGGTGAAACAAAGGACCTGCATGATGTGGTGGTGAGCGCGTTACTCCCCGGAAAGGACAATAACGCGTTCATTCCCCACCGCAGACACCTGGGGTCCAGAGTTTTGCAAATATATCAGCATCATTGAAGGTTATATTTCGCAGCATACACTGCCGTTAAGAAGAGTGGGCAGTAAATAATAAGTTAAAATTATAAAGCGTTTTATTGACTTCTCACTTATTTCTTGCGGCTAAAAAATCATTGGTGGAAAATAAATGCATATACATCTGATTTTGGGAACGTTGTTCACGCAGATATTGGTCGCTTACAATTCACTGACGTTTTTCGGTATATCGCTCGTTATTTGCGGATCGTGATGGATTGAAAACAACGATTAGGTAGAAGATCCGGTTTGTTGGAAACGCAGCAAATACGGTGCAGTGGCGCGAAACACTTGGGTCACAGGAAAACTGTTGAGCCGATAAGTGTACTTGGCCCGTGTCGGGCATACAAAAGCATCAAAGAAAGTTTTCGTGTGGGATCTCTTATTTTTACTGCTATCAACGGAAGTGGCGTGTAGCGCAGCAGTTGGAGGTGCTTTACAATTGACTCGCGGTCGCTGGTTCGATACTTCACCCGAGCTTGCCGTGCCCCTCGAAGTCGGCGAATTCGTACCAGATTTGTCTGGTAGAGTAAAGGAGCTGATTTTACTTTAACAGACTATGGTATAATCCAAATATGCATTCAATCAAAAAGGGTTTGATGAACTTGAATTCACGGCGCATCCCTCAGGAATTAACGAAAGCCGAATGTCTTACTCAACCATCTTCATTAACGAAAAAATACCAACACATAGCTTCAGAGAGCTATATAAATCCTTTTTTAGAGTAAACATGGAGCTTATTTGTTGTAGGCACATCCAGACCAGTTCCCGCACTTCTCTCGTTTCCCACAATGTGGTTAAAATTACGTGCAAAATCCAATCCGTGTGCAGATAACCAACCACATATGCACTTATACATGAATATGCATACGTATATTCAAAAAGTATGTGTCAGTCCGACACAGTTGAACGAACATCTGAATAGAATGACAAGTTTGTGATTGATCAGCTGCGATTATCGTTTAGGCCCATATCCAACATCTAACGACTAACCGGTCCGAAATCCCATAGTTAATGAGGTCTTTGGAGATAACGTTACCAGGATACATGAATCACTAGGAATCATGAATTTTCTGGCTTATCATATATTTCTTACTGACCTTGTTCCGTCGCAATTGCTGTGCATAATAGTGGTTTGTATGCGATTTAAACTCGTTTCAAGTCTCAAATACAGCCTCGTAACGTAGCCATCAAATATATGTTACTAGGGAACATGTTTACACCCTTTTACTACCCAATGCTAATTTTCTCCGTTGTCAATCTTCTCTGCGCACGATTGGTGGCAATCACCAGCCCGGTTAGTACGAGCGAACTTCTTTAGAGTCCTGTGACCCTTTCCTTTTGAAAATATTAGACGACGCTATGAGAACGAAAAAAAGTGCGTCTAATTCATGGCTTCTTATCCTTCCCGGTGCACGAAAGAATTCGGCCATAGTGATGCCTGACTCTATTTACACCTCATTCTCTTGGTTTTAAATACACAACTTCAGAAAAAAGAATACAATCGGTTTTTGTTCGAGACGACTATTGTGAAACGAAAAGGATTGAGGTATAACTCTTTCAACTGCCTTTTTTTATTTACTGCCTATTCTTTTCAATGGTAGGGTAGCTTGCGAAATATAACCTTCATAAGGCTGAGATATTTGCAAAACTCCGCACCGCAGGTGTTTGCGGTGGGGAAAGAACGCGCTATTGTCCTTTCCGGGGAGTAACGCGTTCACCACCACACCATGCGGGTCCTTCTTTTCGTCTGTCTCTCAGCTAGTTCTATCGATCAGTATATTAAAAAGTATAGCCTCAGCTTAACTTGGCTCAATACCGATTTGGGCTCTTCAGATCAATCCCGTTGACGGGTGATTGCTGATGGCTGTGATCGATCAGTATATTAAAAAGTATAGCCTCAGCTTAACTTGGCTCAATACCGATTTGGGCTCTTCAGATCAATCCCGTTGACGGGTGATTGCTGATGGCTGTGATCGATAGAACTAGGTGAGAGACAGACGAAACGAAGGACCCGCATGGTGTGGTGGTGAACGCGTTACTCCCCGGAAAGGACAATAGCGCGTTCGTTCCCCACCGCAAACACCTGCGGTCCGCATTTTTGCAAACATATCAGCGTTGTGGAAGTTATCTTTCAACTGCATATCATGGAAGGATAACTAAGGAGAAATAAGACGTTTGGTGTTGATTAATTCTTGAGCGATTCGTCATGCACTCAGTTCCACCAAGCATCGATAAAGGCAACTGAGTGCCTATTTGCCTCGGGCAATGACTTTCGATGAATTACCGATGGATCAATTCAGTGTTTCCACACTCCCAGAGTTGTCTGCTACAAATTTCCAGACCCCAATGGGAGAGGGGGCTTAGTGATCCCGAGGCGCGGAATCGAACCATAGACCCCGTTGGTATGACAAGGCCCCTCTAACTATTTCTAGATGGGGCCCATAGTGGAAGGAAGTTCTTAAATTATGTAACTGTTCAGTGCGATTAACATCGAAAGATTACTTTCGTCAAAGGAATTAGTGCTTAATTGGATGTAAGTTCTAAAAAGATCTTTTACAAATGATATTGATTATTCTCAGTTGTCGTAGGTGCACTGCGGCCAGAACAAGCTTCTCGTTTCTTAACAAATAAATGAGAATGTGCAAAGAGTCTCCAAAAAGAACTTAGATCCGTCGAAAATGAAAAAGTGGTTGAAAGAAGCATAATCTACAAAGTAAGAAGAGTAAGTGAGCAAAATTAGTGAGAAATAAGAAGAAAAGAAAAGATTAATTAGGTACAGAGCGGAAATAAAGAACGAAAGAGTGCTTACTTGTGGAGCAAAAGCAGAAGCTTGTTGATTTCCCGCCGGTTCCGCTGAAGCGATCGTTTCCATGTCAAAAGTCTTAACGAGAGGATTCTTCCTGAAAAAGTTTTCTGATATAGGAAAATCACGATTCAACCAATGGGCATTGGTTTCAAAAAAACAATTACTCCAAAGATTTCCGAGGAATCTGAAAAAACCAGTGAATCATCAAGAAGGACGCGGAGCTTTTCCACAGAAAAATTCACATCATATAAAGCATTCCAAAATGACTCAGAGCGACAGAAAAACTCTGCTTATCAGAGTGAGACCATCTGTCAATGAATTTGAAAGGGGACGAAAAATTTTGGGGTTCCAAGGAAGAATTTCGCATGAAAAAAGAAAAAAAAACAGGAGCGCGAGATCTCATCTCATCAAGAACTTCGGGCTAGAAAAAACACTGTAGGGACGTTTGCCCAATTTCAGTTCGGCATCGATTTGAAAATGTTGTCCGCTTTCTTTGTGGTTTGTTTGGAGACGCATAGAGTAAAAAACGTCGGTGAGGTTCTGTTCCCTGATAAAGAAGACAATGAGGTCAGATTTCTTTGGTGCAGGTGACAGCGACAAGATTCTCTTCACGAATCATTACCTCTTCATGAAGGCAAAATTAGTCTTTTGGCTTCGTGAGGTCCTATTCTGAATTGGGTGGAGATACTGTAACGGTGATGAAAGGCTAGACCATAACACCGATGAGAATAGTGACGTCTTAAATGAACAACAGAAGAAACGTTAACGGAGAGTGGATGGCCCAGGAGGGGTGAAAGAGTAATGACGAAAAATCGGAATAGTAAAATTATGAAACGGGAATGAAATGAGTTCGGAGTGCGAATAACGGTGGGTGAAGTAACTGATTGCATCAGCAAGCGCCGCGTTGTTTGTGCAAGAGATTACGACGGTAAAAAACGGACAGCTAACACTTCAAATCCACCAGAAAGGAAGACATAGCATTTCGAGAAGAGTGATTTTTTCCTTCAACTCATTTTTTACCTTTCACTGTTGCTGCTACTTTTGCTCTGGACATAAGTAATCTGTACCATGTTTGCATTGCGATAAAACATTGTTGAAGATTGTCCTCGTAGATCCTCTTTAGGCAAGCCTTTCATTATTCCATTCCATCAAGTAAAAAGTGTCATATCTTTAGCGCAAATGCAGCGCGATGGTAAGGGTGTCGATACACGTTTACTGTTTGGGTCGATCCCACACCTTGAGTCAGTTAAACTTCATCGTCCGTGGTCGGTAAGTTGGTATCAGAATTGTCTTGCATGATAAAAATACGTTTGATACATCGGTAGGCCGACCCCACACTACAAGCCAAATATAAAATATATACTCCCACACTTCGGCAGTGCTACGAATGGAGTAGGATTCATGGCGCTTCCTAAGGTTCAACGCCAAACGTTTCACCCTCTTCTTTTTTATTTCCGTACTTCTTAGTCTTATTAGGTCTCATTTTTGCTTTCATTTAGTTTAATTTGTTTGTTTTGCACTGCCCAGTGTACGGACTATGTAATAACTGAGCTGACAAACAAAAATGTCACTCCTCACCATTTCATTGATCAACCGTTTCAATAAGCAACATGTTCTTACGAAGAAAAAAAAACTAGGCGAAACAAGAATTCTGGAAGAAACAAAGTGCTCGAACAATTGTCTAAGTGGAGTGTGAGAAAGTGGAACCAGAGCAACGGTTGGTTCTGAAAGTGAAACAAAAGTGGTAGCAGTGGTATAAACATTATTTAACTGTGGGAAACCCAATATTTCTATGCAGTTTTGATTCTTAAAAGGATAGAAGGATACAGCTCTCGGCGTTGATCAATCCCTGAGGGATGCGCCATGCTTTCCACTTCATCAAGCATCATTTGGGGTGATTTAATGCATATCTGGTCTTTACATTGACTCGCGGTGGCCTACCGATGTACCGAGTCAGTGCTACTCTCTCCTCAGACAAGTCCGGTCCTCCAAATTTTCCGACTCCGAAGGGATAGAAGGCTTGGTGGGCCACGGGCGCGGGGATCGATTCCACGTATGCGTTGCAGAGCGCCTCCTATCACTGCATCACCCGCGCCCTTGTTTTTGATTCTTAGCAGAAGAAAATCTTCTAAGATCAATACATGGTGGGTCCCAATGTGATGTGACGTCATCGAAATAAGGATAGAAGTAATATCTACGCTTTTTTAGTTCTGCTGCTGCTTTTTTTCTGTAAGCCATGAAAATACTTTTTGGTGTGATTTCGGAAAGACACGATGCAGAAAGAACGAAGTTTCGAAGGAGTTTTGCTTTTTCATCCCAGTTTTCAGTAGATCTGAATGCTAATGAAGCACTTCAATGATGCTGAATATTTGCAAAGCTTCGGACCGCAGGTGTCTGCGGTGGGGAAGGAACGCGCTATTGTCCTTTCCGGGGAGTAACGCGTTCACCATCACACCATGCGGGTCCTTCGTTCTGCCTGTCTCTCAGCTAGTTCTATCGATCTTCTAATGAAGCAGCAAGTAAACATTTGACAACGCATGAAACGAAAGTAGAAATGGAGTAGAATAAAGAGGACAGAGAATAAAGTGTTGAAGCATTCGAAGAGAGGGGAGAGGAGAGCAAGATCATTGAATAAGAAATGTCTGGAATCCCTCTGTGATGTACTACTCCTCACTGGAATTATGTGTATTGATGGAAATGAACATAACATCCCAAGGCTTCTCTATTGAGAGAAAAGAAGTAGAGATAAATGAACGGAAAAGAAGATATTAATGATGCTGAGAGATGATGATATGAAATAAGATCTTTTTGATGACCAACTGTATTCATTTTTCATAAACCATCAGCATTACCTACGGATTGCACAACGGTAGGAGGTCTAGAGGCGAACAGAAGTTAAGTGGCATGCCCTTATATGGAGACGGGTGCAGGGATTAAGCATAAATCAAAAGTGACACTGGGCTTGCAGGTTGCGATAAACAGGTGCACTCAATGAATGAATTTCCTATTTTTGCAGCACCATGTTGACTTGTTACTTCCGTAAACAGTTGCGTACTCACTGAATCTATCTTGCACATCGACTCCACTGAAAGCCTGCAACCATGCGACATAGGAGTGGTTACCGCGCCTCAAAGGAACAAAGGGTACTTATGTTCCGAAAGAGTTCGCGAGCTACTCATAATAGCCTCTCATCAAAATCACTGAGACCTTATGTGAAGGATAGAGTGCTTTCTGTGTTCGTTTTGCAAGTAGATCCCACAACACAGCTAAGAGAAATTACACGAAAGCGCAAGCTTTATAGGTGACCATCTAGGTCGCTTAGAAAGGTATCCCATCAATCACTATGTTATTAGAGAAGCGTCAATTTTTATTTTAATCAAACGAGAAGAGCTTGTCGGTTCAACTGTCCTAACTGCGCTTTACCTTTTATTTTCTGCCCACTACAATTTTCACGGCAGGGTACTAAGCGAAACACAACCAAAACGTTGCTGAGATATTTGCAAAACTCTGGACCGCAGGTGTCTGTGGTGGCGAATGCGTTACTCCCCGGAAAGGAAAATAGCGTTCGCCACCATAGACACCTGCGGTCCAGAGTTTTGCAGATATCTCAGCAACGTTGTGGTTGTCTTAACTGTTATTAAGCAGAAGACGAAAATGAAAGACAGTTGATTCCAAAGAGTTAGCAGGCAACTAGTTTGAGGTGGCCATACAATCCAAGATTTACTAAACTAAGCTTAATAATGTTCTATAATTTTATTATTTTTCGAAACTAACGTTCACAGAACTCTAGAATTAACTCTGCATATGGATCTGTGCAATTAGGCAGTAATGCATACTTTGCTAATTGGACGGCCTATCCTCACTGGTTGTGCGGGCCCCAGAATAATCTTCATTCTTCAGAGTTTTGCTGGTTTAGCGATAGTGTATCCCTGGAGTCTTGAGGTCAGTCTGGCCAAATTCTGCCCCAAGTCGTCACCACCACAGCCACTCGTAGCCCTTGTGGATCGCAAGGAGATTTGCCACCATGCAACCTTGATACCTGAACGGTTGCGGATCCTGGTATTAGTTTACTTTTAGCTAGGCTTCCTGATGGAAACGCCGGACTCCTTCTTAGCTTGGGAGACCCTGCCGGCGGACGAATCGACCCGATGTACATCGCAGCTCGACACACAGGAACACCTGCCACCCACGATGAGGTGGTAAACCCTTTGGAGGAGTAACGGAGTTAGTCAAACGTAACATTACCTTCAAGCCTATCATCGTCTCTATAACACCAGAAAACTGTAAAAAAAATCATATTTCATTCTTTCTCGCTGAAACATCAGCTTTTTTTCTGCAATGTTATGTGTGCGATTCCGTTGTAGCTGCTCTTTGATATGAAAAGTCGTCTCCGAGCTAACGTCACAAGGTGAGCTCATCACCGTAAGTCATCATCCGACAATGAATCAACGAAAAACACTCATCATCCGTGGAAATAATAATGATGCAAGAGAAAATGGAGGGAAAAGAAATAGAGGAGAGTAAAACATTTAGATGAGAAGTGAATGCGAAAAAAGGATAGAAAAATAGTTTTTTCTGGATGATAGACGAACGGCGGTATTATGGAAGTGTCCACAAGCGATGAGGTAAAGGTTTGCCTTAACGAGGAATTTGTGGTGTTGAAAAATATCATATGAATATAGGCCACATCAAAAGCAATGTCGAGTGGTTTTCCAAGAATCACAGTTGTTCAACAAATACTTTGAAGTCGAATGAATTGAAGAATTTGTTGATCGAAAGTAAAACAGTGCTGGTCTTCTACTATCACTCCCAATTCGAATGTGGTGTCGCAAGTGATTCTAGAAAAGCGGAAAACCTTGATAAGAAAGGCAATCTGAACATCAAATAGGCCCGTCATGAGCGTTCTGAGTCCTTGGATCGCACGGCGTCATTAGTAGGAATTACGGTAATTTAGTAGGGTAATAACCGTCAAAAGCAGAGCGGAACGAAGCCACACCGTCATCTGGCATCGTTGCTGGCAGATTAGGATTAAAGGAAGCTCTACTTGCCGCTAAATTCTATCATGATCAAGAGGATATTCTGCGTGGTCGGACTAAAACGTTTCGATTCTATTTTTGTTGATCACCTGTTACAGCACTAAAAAAACAGGTAGTGCTGATGGACTCGAACCTGTTAAGAACTCGAAGTGATATGGCGCCGTTAAAACCTAGAAACATATCTCTTGATGGTAAATAGGCCTGGTTTCCAGCCCATCAGCCAGTCGATCGAATGGAAAGATGTAGTATCGACTGAAACGATAATAGTTTTGGATGGTATGACTGGGCAACAATTCTGCAACAGTAATAGAAATTCCATGGAACGTCGCTCTGCACGCGGGACAAAAACTATTCCACTAATAACATTTTAATTTTGAAGGAAAAACAAGAAAGGGAAGAGTTGATAATTGCAATTACGGCGCTAACTAGACCACTTCGATACTTGTCGTGGCCCACTAGTCCAGGAATGTCAATCAGACGAAAATTCCAAGATCCCATGGAAATTATGGATTTTTGTAAATAATTTATCTTCCTAGCCAACGTTCATGACGAATTCAGGAGTTTTAGCTTCAAATGTTCGTTTATCTGATATCACTGAATTGAAACTCATGCGATGATTTGTTGTGTGTGATATACAACGAACGGTGACAGATGGTCTTATCAGTGCAACGCCGCTCCCAATGGATATAGGTAGAGTAGTGGTTAAAGATGTGCAATAGACACATCATCACTTGTTCGACCCTGTACCGAGCCAACGAAACCTAATATCACTCCAGAATCGGCAAAACGAAACAAGATTTGACTAGGAAATGCTTCATCCGATCCACGATAGACAACGAATCACTGTTGTGATTACCTCTTTGAAATATTTCAGAAGGAATCAATTTGACCAGCATCATCGAACGAAATTCGTTAAAAAAGACTAGCTCATCGGCAGCAAGGTGCCACATGCTAATCCGAAGACTACTTTGGATTAGAGCTACGAAACGAACGAAATTAAAGAAGTACTGGGATCCGAGAAATATGTGAACATGAGCCATATGAATAAAGACAATTTCAAAAATCCTGAATAACTCTTATCGAAGCAAGGTGCGTGGGCGAGGATCCTATGTGCTAAACATTCGAGCCGAAAATCCAGCACGTCCGGCAACTTCTGAATTTGATCTGTGCAGAAAGGAAAGAAAAATTTGCTGTATGGCTATAATGACGTCTGCCTAACCGAGTTTTCTACCAACATATTCTTTTAATGATGAAACGCGAAACACAATTGGTTTTGAGATGACCTTAAACTGAACTATTTGTGAGGAAAGAAATTGTACTTTTCGAGGGAATTTCAATGTGATGAGACAGTTGGATATTACCTTGAACAAGTATTGACTGGTTGTGACACATTAGAAACGAAACGACGATTGTGTATCCTCTCATTTACTGTTTGTAATACTACTGGATAGCAGCAGTAGTTGACCATGCAAGGTCGAGTAGTATTGATTGATAGCCGAACTGCAAACCTTATCCATCGCCATAGACATTGCGCGATGACCGAATGACCGAATGATTCGAATATTCGATACCAAACACAAAATCTCAAAAACTCTAAATTAAAATCTGAAGCCTTTGTGACAAGATGGACTGAGGTAGATCTCTTAATAACTCGAAAGACCGACATTCTATAAACCTCGGCATATATAGTTGATATATTTATTTATGTGATCTTACAAACTGATCTTCTTAAGCTGACGCGAGGTTGGTACAAATCTTCGTTGTCGTCATCAGCCATCGATCATTAACATCAAAAACAACGACAACGATAACGATGATCTGTACCAAGCTCGCGTCAGCTTAAGAAGGACTGTGGTAGAATTTTTCCTTCGTCTGAAAGAACCTTCAAACGCAAGTGAAGGGAAATATTCACATCAATTTCTTATCGATATTGATGGCTAGACGTTTTTGCATTGAAATGGCTTCAAACGTGGAAAATTCGAACACAAATAGGTAGCGAGATCTCTCTGTAAGATAATCCTTGACGAGTATGACGATTAATCGCTGCTGGACGAATTTAAACAAGACTAAACGACCGACCATAAATCTTAGAAGAATTAATTGACGATCATCGAAGAACGAGAAAAAGACGTCGAATAAGAAGATTTGAAAGAAAGGAACGAAAGACATCTTATTTAGAAGCAGGCAGAGATCGAATGCCGAACGGATGCATAAAAGCGGTCCCCACTAACCAGTCTGTCCTCATGTCGAGCAAAACATTCCAGAGCGGAGGCGTGGTGGTTGGCCGAATTCATCACAGAAGGGCGGTGCCGAGTCAAACACGTACGCCGTCGTCGCTGACCTTTAGATGAGGTCAACCAGGTGTGACAGCTTAGATGTAGATAGTTGTTATCTGTGACAATATCGAAGGCCTCCCGAAGGAGACTACCTACACCGTGAGTTATAGATTCTGATTATTAGCCATTCCTAATAGCGGCTGATAATTCTTTAGGTACAAAAACACTTCGCGAGAAAACTGCAAGATAAGGACTGAATGGTCGCAACTTATCCAGAAAAAGCACACTGACGATAAAATCTATTCTTAGAAGTAAAGAACGATCAGAATTTGGCAAACGAAGTAGCGTCTTCGTTAAAATGTAGGGGAAGTGGTTGAAAAGACAAGAGAAAATCCTACCAGTCAAACTTTTTTCTTCTGCTTAGACAAAGGGTCAAGAACCTGCTTTTGTTTCATAAGCAACTGGTAATTGGCAAAAAATGCAAAGCAAAAGTAGAAAACAGGATTTTGCAACAGTTTCGTTCCTAAGCGGCTAATGGCAGATTAGTAGCTGTCATAGAATTGGAAGTACTTTCATGGTTGAGCGAAGAAAGAAAGAATATAGAGAAAGCCTCTGTCAGTGAAAACCTCTGGAAGAAGTCATGCCCAGTGTAAAGTAAATGATTGATTCACACTGGGTAGATCATAAAAAAATGTTCGAGTATTCAAACAGCGAGGTTCTGGTTGGCTTTGTAATGGCCGGTTTGACCGAGTTTCTTCCGGCACTAAGCAGTTTATCGAATTCCCATACGGCTATAGGTGAGATTCACTGAACTAACTGCGAAAAAAGAACACTCACCTTTTCAATCTGTTCGTTACTTCCTTCGTTCTGTCTTTGTCTACGGAAACAAGAAATGCCTCCGTCACTGTCGGTTCCGATGAGGCCGACTCTAAAATTGCACCTAATTGTTTATAATCTTAGTTATCATTTAGCAACAACATGACGTAAAGAAAACGGTGCGTTGTAAAAGTTCATCAGTATAAAAATTAGAAACTATCGCTTCTTTTTGAGATGCTGCATAATCCATGGTTCTCAGCTGATGTGAAAAACGTACCGGACACTACCATTCTTGATGACTGCAACCCTTGTTTAAGGAAGACAATGTTTATGGAAATAGTAGTTTATGAAGTGGGCAGAAACCCGAAAATTTTGGTGTAAGTCAACAAGTGCTTATTTTTGAGCACGAAAACTTGTCCATTATTCTTAAGAAAGATTACCGATTTAATCCCACCTCATTCCTGCGCTTAATATGCCTGATGGTTTCAATGATATTCAGTTTTTTCTCCACTTTCCAGTTAAGATCTTTTTCTGCACGCGATGAGGAAAGTGAATAATAAAAAAAGTAGGTGGCCCCTCCCGAAAACATTCAAACACAACAAACATTAAAAAACGGACTTTTATGCACTGAGCAGATGAATTAAATAAGAATCCAAAAGAAAAAAACTACAACTAGGAAACTACATAGCATGGATACTTACTTACCTAGATACTTGGATGGCCCGTATTCGGTGGTTGTGCGGGCCTCAGCATAATCTCCATTGTTTTGGAGTTTTGCTGGTTTAGCCATTGTGGCTCCTTGCAGTCCTGAGGTCAGCCAGGAAAACGCCGGAGTTTGGGAAATCCTGCAGAGGACGAATGCCCCCTATGTACATCGTACCCGAACACCTAGGAGCACCTCCCAGCCACGATGAGGTGGTAAACTGTTGGGGGCATAGCAAGGAACTAAATGTAAATGCAAAAGGGTGTTCAAACTTTGCCGTCATACAACTCTGGCTAACAGAAGCATGTTTTGACAGCAGAGCTTCTTATTTGCAGAATTTTCTTTCGATTTTCAAGTTACATGAAAGTTAAGAAATCCATCAGACCACAAAGCACTCTCTACGTCTATCAGTCGAGTATATCTAAAGACCTTTGGTGGAAGTCATTCAGATGTTCTCCATTCGGAATAGCGTGCACCTCCTCCACGTTCATCAAAGAATAATTGAACCATATCGTAGTCGGTGGAGAGAGGCAATTATCTATTTATTAAACACTATTTGTATGACCCGTTCCAACATACTCTGCGGAATCCAGCACTTTTTTATTTTATTCATCGTCTTGAACCCGTCATGAACAAAAGTTTTCGTGTTTGCTAAAATGGCTGGTTACTAGTCAAGGATTTCGTTCCTTTCATGAATGTAGTGGAATGCTGGTGCAACCTAATCTTTCTGGAATTTCGGGAAAGCTACATCAGCGTTACCAGGTCTCCAGCGTAAAGTTAGCCGCCGGTGTTTGCGGATGAGAGAGAACATTTCCTAGACGAATTTCGTACCGATTCGCCTAACTTCGTATGGACGAAGGGTTTTGTCGGCCCAAAATGGTCATTACGTAGGTCCCCTTACTTTTACGTTCTCCACGATTCGGCGAAGGAACAGAAAAGGAAATGTGTAAATATGAAAGTGACTTTTCTGACTGAAGTGGTCGAAAATATCAGAGTCACCATTTCAGCATTTATAGCACTTGGCACGACCAACCATTTGTAGAAACGTAAACGTAAGCAACTAGCGAAGAAATGTTAGAAAAACGAAATAGGAACGAACGTTGTGTCACATCGGTGGTCTTTCGGCGTACTTTTAACTGAATTATCCTCGAACGAATGCACTGAAATTAGTTACTTTCAATGGCTACCGTAATTTCTTGCCACTATTATCCAAAATAGTTTTTAAAAAGTTCGATGTAATCTGTGGGTAATTTGTCTAATTTTTAACTATTTTTTAATACTAGCTATCCTTTCCGCTTTTACTTAATTAAGTAGGTGAATTATTTAGCGTCGAAATGATAAGAATGAAAGCGTAAGAAGTGCTCAAAAACTTTATCGGGCCAAGGTTTAGTAACCTGTTTTTTCTTTGATATATGTGCAGATCGTTTCCATCAAGAATCGAAATCATACGGACTATAAGATGACAAGAATTTTGTTCTCTAGAGGCCTAAGAAAGTTATACAAGGCTATCGATTACCAGGAAGTCACCGACGGGAGCCGTCACCTTTTTGATCGAAGGGAAGTTCTCTTTCTTGTGACTAGGCTCCCTCTATAGCGGCGACGATTCCTGGATGCTTTACTGCATCGGATAAAGAGGATGAACACTACTGTAGTGGTAAGTCGACATCCATATTTTTCGCATTTACTCAGTCTTAATTTTATATCAGTTCAGTGTTGACCTATCCACTAAAGATGCAACTGCGCATTCGACTCAATTCATAGCCTCACAGAAGCTACCAAATCGCTGATCAGGGAAGGAAGGAGGACTGACTTGTATAGTCTGGGGACCGGAATAAAACCACCGATTGTCCCAAAAGGAATTTCCACCAGCAGGGAAAAATATATGCTGAGTTACTCCCTCCAACATTTCGTAACCTAACTGCTTAAAAAAAGGTTTCTTTTCATAAAATTGTATTATTATGTAGTATCATTATGAATACAATCAAATTGCTGCAATGTTCTTTTTCTTATAGTTCCTTCACCTCCTGGATGTATCCAACGACCTCTTCATGAGTTTTTCCTTCGATTTCAACACCATTGACCGCTATGATTTCATCACCGACACCAAGACCCGCACGTTCCGCTGGCGTACCTGAAAGTAAGGGACTGCAAACTTTAAGCCACGCAGAGCAGAATTTACCACTGAAAGCACCGAAAACCTATATTTGAGCTTTACTAATCCTTTCTCAGAAAAAAAAGGAAAAAACAACCTTTAGTAATTCGATTGTCCCAACACCCGTGAAATAGCCTTCCAGTGAATTCCACCTCACCAACATCGCATCGAAAACTTTTCTTAACTAATCTGATTCTTCTTTAACTTGATTGATATAGCCAGTAAAACTTCCATTATATTTGAAAGCTCGCAAAATAGGAGACCTTGCTTTGCTCCAGAGATATTTCCACTTTTGAATATTGCAAAGGAATAATATTCATGCCGAAAAGAAAACAATCAGAAGCACTGAATAAACAAATATAGTCGCTTCAGTGGTACAACGCACATATTTGGTAAATTTTCTGAGTTTATCTAAATATTTCAACCGCTGTTCTCAGTCATTTCAGGATTTGTTTTTTAACAACTGGCTACGTTCTCAGCTACAACTGTCAGATTTGGAAATTTTAATATCGATAGTCCATGGAGTAACGGAATTTCCCATCTCGTTGTCGTTCACTCTTACCATATAGTCGCACGGTTCCGATAGGGGAATTGACAACGGAAATCACGAATCCGTTGAGGACGTTTGTGTCTTTTCGTTCTTTTCGGGTGCTGAAACGCATCAAGGAGGTTCGCTTTAGGCCACTCAGAGCAGCCGGAATCGATAACGATTTCGACATCTGCAATATGGGAAGCTACTGAACGGAGGAACATCGCCTGGCTACCAAATGGTAGGCAAAGTGTAAGAAGTCAGTAATCGTGTAACGACAAACCATAGAGAAACAAATAGAAACATAACGGATAACCACGAGAATATAGAGGTAGGCGGCTGTGGTTAGTTCTGAGTTCCGAAGATAAATGTATAAACATCAAGTAGAATGGTTCTCTAAGAAGCACAAGTTTCTGAAAGAAATTCATCGAGAGCTCTGCTCTTTTAAGCCACTAGTGTGCCGTATTTCTTATCGTTCAGGACTTTTAGTGCGCTAGTTGACCATCACGTACAACGTAGCAACTAGAAGATAGGAATAGTACGCTTGTGGAGTAGCTCGATTTTGGTAATATTTTGTTTCTGGATGGATTATTCGTCAAAACAACACCATCTTTGAGAAAAAACGTACTACCTCTCCTCGTACACTTTGGACGAGTTTCAATAGAATTAATGATAGACGACGAAATTGAATTCGACATCCATTAGAATGGGTGTCATGATGAGTTGGGCAGAGAACAGAAAGGCAAAGGAGATTTCAGTAAAGAGTAAAAGGACTGCTGAAAAAAAACCTTAGAAACTCCAGGAACTTTAGGAACTTGCCGAACTTTACAATCTCCCGCTAGAAAAACGCTCTCATAATAAAACCGATAAAGAAAAAAAGCAAATCGTAAGAGAATGAAAGGAACAGACGTGTCTGAGGAATTGGAGTGTTTTCTTCACAAGTGCAGAATTCGAATGGAATGGCAAACAAATGATGACCGATGCTGCCTTTGTCGAGAAATACTGGAGGTTTTCCAGTAATTCTAGCATTTAAAGAATTAAGAACTTGGAAAGTTATAGAAGACTCTGTACAGTACTTCTCTATGCAATTGAACAACTCCCCTTAACTGCTGAAGAAATAAAAATTATATTTAATATTTTAGAATTTCCGAAGGAAACGTGGTGACTTCAAACACTAGCGATAGATGGGGGGACGATATTACGTCTCTCGTTGCGGTCACCCTTGTTCAACCGCTTTCGAGATGGGTTCGAAATACGAGCCACGAAAAAAAAGAAAGCGTGTGGTCCCAAGAAAAGAATTTCATTGAAGTGAAATTAGTAGAAATATTTTCTGGATGACTAGGATCTGTGGATTCTATTTACTACACTCCCGACTAATGATGTTCACTATGAGCTGAGATGTGTTGATTGATATTTAAGAAGCCTAGTATTTTCGGACGCCCGTGAATTGACCTCAATGCATGCGAGCCATCGAGTGTTAAATAAAGTTTTCATACTGGTGAAAATTCAAGATTTTAAATCCTATGTAAATCCTATGTAAAAAATTAAAACAAAATATTTATCGATTTCATTTAATCTATCTAAAATAAAAATATGTCCAAGAGGGAGCTATTAGAATACAGCCAGGAATTATCTGGATGAGAGTGGATTTTAAGTGCACTAGACCGAAATTCCATCATCATCAAGTCAACATCATTCATCACCGCCCAAGATGAAAACAGCAGCTGACAATAAGCTCACGGCATCGTTGGCGTTGACGGAAGGCGATGGTAGTAATGCTCGTGGATACAGAGATCTTTAGAAAACCGATGTTGGTACCACTCGTGGATTCAGAGATCTTTGGGAAGCTAATGGCTGCATCGCTCGTGAAAGTTGAGGTCTTCGCGCCTTGAAATCGCAATAGAATTTGTCATTTACTCTTCTCCTGCCTATTTCAAGATCATCTAACAACTATTTCACATTACGAAACATCCGACAAAGTTTTTTTCTTTACAGGTTTTCTTTCCTAAAGAGAAAAATTGTGTGGAAAATGGTCTTTTTTAGAAAGCATTCTAAACAGTGGTTCAAAAGGCTGTATAAATTAGTCATTTTCGAAAACGTCGCTTTTGCAGTTTCCAGCTTATAGCTTTCAACAGACCTTTAATCATTTAAACTTTGCTCGTTAAAATAAAACAGCTGTCTAACTACTAAATCGTCCGCTGATCATGGGAGAATCAGAAACCAAGTAAGATTTCAGAAAAATAGGTGGTACTCTAATAATTTAGCCACCTTACTAGGATTCTGAGAAAAATTTCTCCTCGAGAAATTGTACATTTGAACTCTTCACAGCAGAACATTTTATTTCTTTCACAACGAAGACAAACCGATTAAAGGACAAGACGTAGGCGTTGTTTGATCTTTTAAGGCTGTTCTATGCATTCGGTTGTATTCGTAGCATCATAGAGCTGACTGGGTACAAATTTGTCTTACACGATGACTTAAGGAAGCCATTTCTTTCAAATTAATCGGGTACTAATTAGCCCTCTGTGGAAAAATGGTAGGCTTCGCTCGCCAGCGGCGCAGGATTAAACCTGTGATACTGTGTGTGTTGCAAAGCACCTCTAACCACTCTGCTACACGCGTCTATATGTAGTAACAATAAAATACAAATACATTTGGCAATTAACTGCAATTAAACACTAACTGTAAAATAACTGGTTAGATTAAAGTCGGAGCTTTTAGTCTAAGAACTGAAAAGTTCAATTTTCGCTCATTGTGGTTCAAATGCAGCGTGAAGATTTCAGCATGGCACAAATCTCCTTGAAAGTACAACTACACACTTTGCTCAGCAATTACAATGTCGTAGGACGAAGCAAAGTGTCGGAAGTTTATTAGAACTTCTAATGATCGACTTTTTTTTATTAAAATGAAGATGTTTTTCGATAAATGTCTTCCGTTCCGGACATGGGAGCGCCATATCCGATGTTTGTCTCATTTGCTATACAAACTGCTCCAATACAACCTGAATGTAAACATTAACCTTAACCATTAACCTCGGCATTAAATAGCATACATTTACTTTCACAGAAAAACACAATCAAATACAACAGTAGCTGACGTTTCGGCAGGATGGCCTTCTTCAGAGCCGCTTTTTTCTTTTTTTAGAGAGCCGTCAACCATATGCGACGACGAACAGTTGCTCTAACCTTTCTCATTGGAAGTCAGGGAAAAAAAGCGGCTCTGAAGAAGGCGATCCTGCCGAAAAGTCAGCTACTGTTGTATTGGATTGTGTTTTTCTATGGATGTAAATGTATGCCGTATAACAACCCCGCGATTGCTGAACAAGAAAACGACACATTCACAATCCAATGCCGAGGTTAATAGAAAGTCGATGCTGGAAACTGTTTGCATATAGCTTTAGAGTCCGACACTTTACCTCCTTTGCAAGTTGCATAATAGCTGAGTATACCTTCTCTCGCATCTGAGATAGACGTACTAACGTTTTTTCCTCAAGCACTCTACATCCTTATGGATCAATAGGCAGTTTGCCACCTTACCTTACTACCATAATTCTTCCCACAGCTGAAGTTATTTCATAACTAAGGCATCTAAGGAGAAGGCTATATCAGAGTTATCTGATCAATAACATTCTCAAAAACCGTGAATGCATACCTTCTACCTAAGAGAGGTAAGCATCAACTAATGGAACTCGAAATTCGAAACTACAATAACCCAACAATGTTTGTCTTTCCGTTCTTCAAACAAAACGCTATTCAATAGATTTCCTTGTTTTGCTTTTTTAATGGGTCCATCTACCTCTCAGGGCTCTCTACTCCATTGTTCTTTCTGCCACCAATAGTTTCAGCAAAAAAATGGTTCACCATCGGTTATGATCACCCTGTTCGACCTCACGCCGGCCTTAGATGTTCGAAACTACTCTTGACCACTGCTGTGTTTATACTTGAATATATTGTTCCAATGCTTTTATCCGTCGCATTTGCAATCACTCAGAGATGGCCATGTTTTCCAGTTATCAGTAGTTTGGTTTAGCCGGAGTTTTTCAAAAATCTCAGCAATGCAGAAGTTATGTTTCGCAACATACCCTGCCATTAAAAAGAATAGACAGTAAATAAAAAGGTTAAGATTGTTATTATAACTAAAGCCTCAGCTTAACTGCGTTCATTGCCGATTTGGGCTCACTAGATCAACCTCGTTGAGGGGTGATTGCTGACGGCAGTGATCGATAGAACTATCTGAGGGACAAGCGAAACGAAGGACTCGCATGGTGTAGTGGTGAACGCTTTACTTCCCGGAAAGAACAATAGCGCGTTCGTTCCTACCGTAGACGCCTGCGGTCCGGAGTTTTGCAAATATCTCAGCATTACAAAAGTTCTTAACATTAATTCCCAAAAACGTGGGCGTTGTCATATGAAAGGATGTGGCACTTAGAGGTAGTTCAGAAAAGTATTTAGTAGTAGCAATTCGACTGCACAAGTAAGAAAAGAGATCCGAAGCTGCGACTTGTGTCAACGATCAAATATCAAAGATTTCGTTCTGTACGCCAAATAGTCGAAGATAAGGGGGCCGGACACGTAATGCGTATGAACGACAACCGATGGACAAGAGCCGTTAGTGACTGGATTTTTCGGGATGTCAAACATACTGGAGGAAGACCACCGACTCGATGCTCAGAGTTCTTCACGAAACACCTAGCAGAAAGACATGGTGCTCGACGAGTCCCTATAGCGGGCAGAACCCACTGGGCTACTCTTGCCCGCGACAGGGGAAATGTGGAAGATTTACTGGCTCCCGCTAGGGTCACTCGACGGTGAACGGAGCTACAGGTGACAGGTGATACAGGTGAACTCAAGTATACACGAATCAATTAAAGGTTCATAATACTTACCTTGCTCTTCTCGTTTTTGCACACAGTTTTTTAATAAATAGGATTTCTGATAATCTTAAGAAATTGAATGTGTGACTATATGTGAAAGTGTATCGTTTTAGAAGTACACGTCTTTTTAGCACGTGTTTAAAAAATAAATTTTCAAAAGGACTTGGAAAAAGCTCAAAAACAAACGCTGAAATCGCCTACACTTGCGACAAAAGCGGGACGTCATCAATTCTCCTGCGCGAAACCTCATAATCGTTTCCCTACTCGACCAAATATGAAAGACGGCGAAAATCGAAAAAAGTTCTATTCTATCCAAA